TTGAGGCAAGTCTAGAGATGACTAGCAAATCAAAAGGAAGAAGTTTATCGCTGTTTCTAGTAAAATACAACTAGAAAAATTAGCAAAAAAATTTCAAGATTTTTGAAAAAGTCGACATTTAGGCCAAAAACTGCTCACGTTTCCGGAAAAAATCAAAACCCCCGGAAAATTTAGGCCGACAACCTGCGAAACTTTTTGCAAAACTCGACATTTCCGAATGACTGCACCCAGTGCCCTAAACTGATCGATCAGGTTACGGGGCTGTGCATGCGAGTGTCAGAGGGCAGTCGAGCGGGTGCCGAGCCAAGAAATGTGGGTCTCCGCCTGGAAAAGTGGGATGGAGGCCGGGCTTTTTGCCCCACAACTGACAGCCGAAGAGGGGCGAAGGGGTGGAGCCGAAGGAGCGACGGGATGTGGAGGGAGCAGACGATGCATACTAACCCCCACAACGGCTGCCCCTAGCCCCCAATGAATCAACCAGCCGCGCTTCTTTCAGTATTCTAACGGGTCAGCATGATGCCATTTTGCTTCTGAAGAGTAGGGTCAATTGTTAAAATACTCGGACTTAGTTTTTAGACCTGTATGCCATAAAACCAATCAAACGGTAATATATTTATTGATCAAAAATACAACGTAACAAATTATAACGAACCAAATTTTCTAATAGTGAGAGCATCGCTTACTGCCGCAGCGGAAATTGCCATCAATCCAAAGGTGCCGAAGCAAATCCGGCCGAATCTTGGAAAGAAGTACTCGCCGATCGACGACCCAATTTTGGTAACTAAGTTGGTGTATAGTTAGAATAAATTACACTTACAGATCCAGATACATAGGTACGCCCCGGGTCCGATACCACATAGCTCATCTGGGTGATGAACTCCTCCAGAGAAGGCTACGTGGACAAGCAGGCCCGAGACGAGAGCACCAGTCAAGCCGTATGCTGACGTGCCCAAGACCGGCATCACACCCGTTCCAAGCCAAGCCATGGCCTTTGCGGCTGAAAACCGTATATCTGAATCCACTTTTCGAAGCATACCAATTCCTGGGAAAACATACAGCGCCACCAGTCTACGGGCATATGCTGCCGTGTGCCCATCGCAGACTTCAAAGTCTTTCTTGAAAAATATTGTTGGAAATTATCATTAAACGCACCAAAATCGCTGTGGCCAATCCATAAATGGCTAGACAGTGGCTCACTTGGAGTGACCATCGATAGAGAAAGCGACCATAAGATCCAATGAACGCAGCCACCTAAAAAAGCCCTATAGTTTTATGGTTTAGTCGGGTGTACGATCATACATCCGAATAAACGAAAGAATATGAATATGAAGTAACTTACAGAGGGAGAGCCCTTCGGGATGGACACGCTCCGGACCCTGGGATTTCCTGTATCTATGTCGAGCAGCCAGAGGAAAGCATCGTCCCTGGGACCACCGGAATGGCCAATGCGCAACATCTCGGTACCGTAACGTTTACCACCAACCTTAACGGCCATTACAATCCCATTAAAATTACCACGCGAAAGATCTGCAGGGTAGAGGTAGCTTTCGGCCTAGTCCTCATCGAGAATTCGGAAGCAAAGAAGGAGTCGAATGCTGATAGTGCCTGAAACGCCAATAGTTACTTGCTTCTAACTTTGATGATGTTTATTTAGGGTTATCCACTGGTTCATTTACTGCAATTCAAAATTTACAAAGCGCATACCCGTAAGAGATCGTGTGGCAGCAGGAACGTCGGGTCCATGCTGGTATAGAGGTAGAAACTCCCTAAATTAATCGATGATTAATGGAAAAAGTAATGTTCTAAGTATTATAGGAAAATTCGAAGTATCGGGCCCTGAGCAAAGACAAAAGTTCAAGCCGATATACTGAAACTTGGAAAGCTGCGTCAATAGAAACCTCCCGGAAAAGCAAAAGATTTCAACTTTGGGACTACTCTCGGAAACCCGCATTTATCCAGAAAAATGTGTTGGCCCATTTTGCATGTTCATGTGTTCCAACAAAATATCAGCGTTATAGCACGCAAATCGCATTGCCGGTAGTCATACCGAACGTTAGATGTGTGCGCACGTGCATCATCCCACAATACCATGCGCTTTAGGTTGCAAATATTTATCGATAAATATTTATCACAAGTGTCAAGGTACCAGTAGTAACAATTTTTGCAAATACGTACATAAGCTCATTTTCATTTCTTCGGGCCGTAGAAGTAACCGGAAATGAAGTCGCTCGTGCTTTGATAAGCCGAACCGATTGTCTGTCCGGCATTTTGAGCGACTCCCGTATATTGTGCAGCTTGTCCGGCAACTGATCCGACAGCCGCTGAGCAGCTCGAGGCAAGATTTCCAGCTCCGTGGTAGATGGAAGAAGCGGCAGGGCCAGCATTCTGGCCGATGCCATTGTAGATGGCACCGATCGCTTGGCCAGTGCTTTGAGTGACAGCCGTGTACGCTGCACCGGCCTTTTCGGGAAGATTCGAGTCCGCGGCATATTGGGCGGCTTTCCCGGCTACAGATCCGACGGTCGCTGTGCAGCCGGAGGCCAAATCTCCGGCTCCATTGTAGATGGAAGTCATGGCGGGGCCTGCAGTCTGGGCGACGCCGGTGTAGACCGAGCCGATCGTCTCTCCAGCTTTTTTCTTGAATTCGGGGTCCGCAGCGCATTGGGCCACCACATCGTCGCCATACCAGGCGCCGGCGAGGGAACCAACAAGACCTCCAACTGCGGTTCCGACGCCCGGCAAGACGGCTGAGCCAGCAATTGAACCCGCTTTGCCTCCTAAAATTGCGCATTGCAACTGAATATTGTAGCGGCTCACCGAAAGCGGCTCCCGTATACGTTCCAGCGGTGCGAGCGGCGTACGTTGCTGTGTTTTCGTAAGTGCCGTCTTCGTAGTCTTTCTGGAGCCAAAGTTAAGCGAGCAAAAAAAGCAGCAACCTGTATCGCTCGTGCCGTGTAATATGCCATAATTGAGGTGGTGATCAGAGGTAGCCAGTCATTGAGCGTCTTTGCGGCATCGGCTACTCGCTTCGACACCTGCAAAAAAGCAAATATGCATCAATCTGACGAGATTACCCATGGTGTCCCGTATGGAACCCATAGATGTGGGTCCCTCTTCAGGCCGGCTGGCTTCGGATTGAGGTTTATATGGCAGTATCCTCCGGGCTTGTGCGCCCAATCGATTCGAAGCAATGCCATCACATTCTTGAGTCGCTGAAAAACTTTTCTGTATCGAAAATGTCGAATTATGCAAAAAAAACATCAACGCCGTAATTACAACCTTATCATACAGCTGAACGGCCGACGATGAAGTGGAGCTGGTTTTCAAGGCATAGTAGCAGCCTTGGGTGAGGCGATACGTAGTCAATCCCTATTTGAATGGTTATTAATCGAATAAAAAGGTTTACTTTGAAAAGGGCATTGATTTTGTACAGCTTTTCTTCTTCTGGCACTGAAAAGCCGAAGTTGTAGCGACGCTCTGCTTCCTCTGGGCTTACGTCTGACATTGAAAGTGCCTAGAAATTTTTTGTTGCGCGAACCCTAGCCCCGGAAAAGGCGCAAAGGATAGAGAAATAGTTTTCACGTAAATAACTGGACCCATGGCTTCAGTCGCTATCTTATCTTATGCGGAAACGCATACGTATGCCTACACCTTTTCCGCCTTTGGACCCGTTTCCCACTGCAATCAATCGCTCAGCAAGCGCGTGGTCTGGTCACAACTTGTAAGCCCGCGTCGCCCATGTTCTAGTGAAGCTAATCGCAGAAAAGCCATGGACTGCTGTACCATGCCTCATCCCACACAACATAGATGCAACAAATTTATCAAATTAGCAACGTATGTACAAATCGTAACAGAGGGGAAAGGCCGAACGGTTATACCGGAAATAAGCAGCAAGGTTGTGAGAAATTCGCTGGAGGCGCTTCATCGGGACGCCAGGATTCCGACAACGCTTCCGATGATGCCTCCGACCGCGGTGCCGACGCCGGGGACGATCATCGAGCCGATGAGGGCACCAGCTTGCGCGCCTGAAATGAAAAGTTTTAGCCGGAAAAAGGGGAGTTTCGACTGTTTCAGCGCGGCCCGAGGGAGAAATAAAACGAATTGTGAGAGTACGAAGATATTTGGGCAAATTATTATAATCTATATTAGCTACAAAACAAGAAAATGCCTTCTAAATCCGGCTGGTAAACTGTTTTTCGACATGTTCGCTATTTTTTCAACATACAGAACCGGTAAAAAAATTCGCTTACCGCCGCACACCTTGGCGGTGTTGACCGCACCGTTGACGATGGCTGTTACGATGTCTTTGCCGTGAGCAGCTTCCTAAAAATGAAAATAAAAACACGACTGAGATGTACCTGAATAACATTCACCGCGAGCGCGCCGACGGTGACCACAGGGAGGACCGTTGAGGCAACGGCAGCAGTGGCAGCAGCGGCGGCAGCGGCGTCTGGCATTTTCTAATCTGAAAAAAATTTAGTATAACAATAGAATAGTAATAGTCAATAAAAATAGAAATAAGAAAGGTAAACAGGATAATTTCGTGCACAGAAGTTTGAAAAAAAACGCTTAGAAGTGTATAATCTATCGTGAAAGTCGCCTGAGTGTCGACTTTTTTTCTAAAGGTGAAAATGTTGCTGCGTCGCCAGGTACTCTCTATTTATATTGTAGAGATGAAAATTTTCACTTGTTGCGGGATGAGTTACAGTAGCCTTTCCAGAAAATAAGTGCGTAAAAGTACAGTACTATTTATGGTTCATCGCTCATCCTACTATATATAAAAAAGTAGTGTCTGTGTGAGTGTGTCGATTTGCATGCAACTTCCGTCTGTATGTCCGGAGGATAACTCAATAGGGGATGAATATTAGGGTATGTATGATACATCATTAGGTGCGTAATGGCTCTGCGATGACTGCACGCATAACAGAATTATCGAAATACGCTATTTCCGATATTAAAAATAAGTTTTTGTAAAATTTTCGAGAACCCTCTTTGGTAGGAAACAATTAGCATATACCGGAAGTAGAAGAAGCCTATAAAAAGGGATGGAACAAAATCTTTTCATTTTTGTCAGCTTGATTGAGGCTGAATTATGCAAAGTTTACAGTTTCATTTGTCCAAACGGGGCCAGGGTTGAAAAAGTCGCGAAGCGGCTTTTCAACCCTGGTAAAGTGTTAAAATCTGTTTCTTTCTGGCGTGTATCTTTACTTTTTAACTTTAAATTGTAGTTTTTACCCTTAGTTATATTTTAGGTTTTTTCCTAGTAGCTTTGTTATAATCTGTTGCTTTCTGGCGCGAATTGGTCAACTTTGAGCGTAGAGGCGTAGTTGTTTTATGAAATAAGTTATTTATTGCCCAGAATTCATCATCGATTCAGGTTTCCAGATCCATAGCAGTGCCAGTGGTCCCGCGCTCGCCACTGCGCCCAACAAGAACGTGCCGATTCCCGGGGCAAAGCATTCACCCAACGACGAGCCGATTTTGGCAGCTGAAACTGGATGATAATCTACGTCTTGAATGTTTTTAAAAGTTAAGACCGTATTAATAAGCTTCAAAGCTTACCGATCCAGCTTGCTACGTAGATGCCAAAAACAACCAGCCCGACGAAGAGGTAATGGTTGTCCCAGTGGAGGGTGTAGCCGTTCTAGCAATTGGTTGCGGGTTTTGGATTAGGTTCTGGTTCATTAACAGGGGGATTTCTTTATTGAGCGTAATCCGAATTGTAGAAAAGGCAGACGATTTTTATGATTTTTTAGCCGTTTCTGGCTACTAAAATTTTATAGAAAGAATTTTATAGCAAATATCGAAATGCAACGGAAACTTCAATTTTTTTCAGGATTTTTAAAGAAAACGCCAAATTTTTTAGACAATGTAACAGTTTTTATGAGCAAGGTGCCGAATTCTATTCACGACGTCTAGTTTTCATAGTTCGAAATGCAACGGAACCTACGAAGAATTTAGTTTATCCCCCCCGCTAAGGCTCCAGGACGTTTTTAAAGCGTTGATACCTCGAATTCCCTGGCGGCGATGTTGATCAAGACACCGGTAAAAAGGGCACCGAGAAGGCCGTACAAAGCTGTGCCCAATACCGGCATAACACTCGTGCCAATCCACGACACGGCTTTTGCAGCTGGAAAGATTAAAAATAAAACTAAAATCATGAAATAGTCATTTAACTTATAACTACGGTTTTAGCGTTTACCAATTCCCGGAACAAAGTGGAGTGCGGTGAGGCGGATCAGAAAGTTCAGCGTGTGATGGTAGGATAGCGGATTGGTATCATGCTAAAAAACGCTTGTTTTAAGGGAGAATTTTAGAATATTTCGATGATAAAAGACCTGGATAGCGCCTTTAAAGATCCAAAACTCTACAAAGTACATTCTACATACCCAAATTGCAATTCCCAAGAAGACGATCGCGAATCCGTGGCTGGTCCATCGCAGGTATTTGTAAAAGAATTTAATCAAGCCGCCCAATAGAGCCGCCAGCTGAAAGTTGTTATTTGGGTTTTTTACCGGGAATTTATTGGTAACGTTTCGCTAGTGGCTTTCTACGTACAGGCTGCCATTTTTTGTTACAATTTCCGGCACTTCTTTGCCCCCCCTTAAAGGTTCTTTATACTAAAAAATGGCTTAGTCACGATTATAGAGATTTAATATCGCTAATAACTGTTTAAAGTGTTATAAATTAAATGTTCCACTCACATAAGCACTGCCCGGCGGTAGCCAATAATGCGGATCATGCTCCCTGCCGGCGTACCATGGCTCGAGGTTGATATGGGCGTACTCGTGGTGGTCAAGATGGGGATGGTCAAAGCGCATCACCGCCAATTCATCGCCATAGTGCGACTTCTGAAGCGATAATTGGATCTTTTGCATTATCGGGGGGGTATCACACCTTATCAAAAATCTGAAGCGCCGACGAGGCCGTCCAGCTGGTCCTCAGCGTGTACCGCGAGGCGACGAAGCTGTTGAAGGCGATCACCGACTAAATAATGAGATCATTACCGTAATCAGGCGTACTACGGGTTTTTGCATTAACCTACCCTTAAAAGATCGTGGGCCAGCTGCAGGGCGGGGTTCATTTTCGGAATGAAAAAATCGGTGTGGCCCGGGCCGGGCTGGACACTAATTTTAAGCTAATGGGTTGCCGGGGAGATGGAGAGGAGAGAGAGAGTTAGAGCGAGAGCGAGAGAGAGAGAGAGAGAGCGAGAGAGAGAGAGAGCGATAGAGATACGCTGAATCAATGGTGAAATTGTCGAGATCACAAAACATGGGCCGTAATTAGGCGTCAAATGGCATTTCTCGGATTGTGCAAAATATATAATTTTGGCTAGATGTCTGGGCTGTAATTTGGGGGGCCTGCTACGATATTAAATCGTATAAAAAATTTTCCCAAAATTTAACAATATTGGAAAACCAGAAATAAAACAGAGGAAAAATGTGGTTTTTTTGAGTTGAAATTTGGTCGAAAACCGGCGAATTTGGCTAAAAAATCGTGATTTTTTTCCTTTTTCATCAAAATTTGCAAAGTGTTTGCGTTTAGGAATAGCAAAAACTGTTTAAAAACTGTTCCTCTATTAATATCCTCAAAATTGTGTCTTCAGAAAAGATGGATCCCCCGATAATGCACAAGAACCGATTTAGAAGCCTTATTTGCCAGTTTACCGAGAAAACCAAATGCCCAAAAGAGCACAAAACGTGCAAAGAATGCGTTTTTTAATTGGGGATAAACCCAGGCGAAAAAGTGTCGGTTCTAGCTAGCCTGACGACCTTTTTTTGAATCACCCTCGGCTACGATCGATTTGGCCCGGCGGTCGGCGCCCCAATTTATGCACCATACAGCCAGTGCCTCCGGATCTTGGCATGTGGAAATGCATTAGTGATTCTCATGGACCGCTCTTCAGGAGATTATCGATCGGATCGGCTGACAATTCCTGATCCGGGATTCCGGAAATTCCCGTAAAAATCCTACCTTATACAGGGTGTCCCAATAAAAAAGGTCACGCTGGCATTTTGCTATTTCAAATCCGATCGACTTGAAATTTTGCACGGAGGTGCGGAAGGGAATTCAAAATGTTCACAGAAACTTTCAGCCCGATCGGTACAGTAGTTTTCGAGTTATGGCAAAAATAAACTTTATTTTGCGTTTTTAACCTGGATTCCGCCGGAATTGAGCGCTGGAATGTATGGAGAAACTGAAGCGCCGACCCTTTTTTATCCTAGGAATTTTTTTATTCCGCAAAATTCGGGTCGAAAATTGGCTATTTAAGTATTTTTTTAACAAGGGCTAACGACGCCGATGTTAAGAAGAATAAGGGATTTAGAGCCGTGATTTATGTTAATCGAGGCAAAGTCCAAAAACATAGCCGAAAAAATGAAGCAAAAGTGAGGGAAAAACAGTATTTTTACAATAACTCGAAAACTATTGTACCGATCGGGCTTAAAGTTTCTGTGAACATTTTAAATTCCCTTCCGCACCTCTGTGCAAAATTTCAAGTCGATCGGATTTGAAATAGCAAAATGCCAGCGTGACCTTTTTTATTGGGACACCCTGTATAATTTGGTCGCGTATCTTTGTCTGTGTGTGTGTCCGGCCGTCACTTTCGAGGCCCGATTTGAGGGCCTTCCCGTGCATAAAATGCCTTAATTCTCCGTCACCCGGGGGAATCTACCCTCCTCTTTCCGATGGCGCTTTCAGAATCCCGATAAAATACAAGTTAACAAAGTTAAAGCCGGTTTTATTGATTTTTGGGGGTCCGGGAGGGCTAATTTGCATAATGTGAAAAAATACAAATTTCCTCATTCTTGCCAGTTGCACTCGCGAGTTTGGTCGTCTCTTTGGATCTGCCTCTCGATGCCTTTCCTTCCCCTGCCCCGGGCAGTCCTATTGAGGCATAAAACGGGTGTTTGGCGCGTGCTACCAAGCATTGCATGGTGTAGTGGTTAGCGTTTCGCCGTGCTAATCTAACCATCGGAGGTTCGATCCTCGGACATTTTAGTTGTTTTGCTTTTTGCTCGGAAAGCGCGTTTCGGAGTGGATTTCCGTGTAAGGACGTTATTATGAAGTTAGTCACTCAAGCCGCAGCCTATAGAATGAAGCTACCCGCTCAAGCATGCGCTGCAGGCCAAGGAATCAAGCTAACTGCTCAAGCTAGCGCTGCAGGCTTTATAACGAAGCCAGCCGCTCAAGCTAGCGCCGCAGGCTTTAGGACGAAGCCAGCCGCTCAAGCTAGCGCCGCAGGCTTTAGAACGAAGCCAGCCGCTCAAGCTAGCGCCGCAGGCTTTAGAACGAAGCCAGCCGCTCAAGCTAGCGCCGCAGGCTTCAGAACGAAGCCAGCCGTTCAAGCTAGCGCCGCAGGCTTTAGAACGAAGCCAGCCGCTCAGCTAGCGCCGCAGGCTTTAGAACGAAGCCAGCCGCTCAAGCTAGCGCCGCAGGCTTCAGAACGAAGCCAGCCGCTCAAGCTGTCGCCAAAGGCCAAAAAAGGAGGCTAATCCCTCAAGCTTGGGCCGCAGGATGAGGTAGCGACCTAGCCGATCAAACATGCGCCGCAGGCCTAATAACGAGACTAACAGTTCAATCTTGCGCCGCATGCCAATACAAAGAGCTTTGCATGGGAGATGGGTTTTTTTTCTTCAGGATAACTGTCTGTGGAAGGGTGCTCGATTCATAAGGCCTAGACGGGGTCCAGCGGGGGAGAGTCGCGAAGCGGCTCCTCCCCCGCTGGTTTTAAATGAGTTAGCGAAGCTTTATCACAGGTATGA